CTTCACATCAGCAATAAATGCACAGACATAGGCACACAGACACGAACATACAAGTAAATTTCTAGGCACACTCAGCCCCACAACCCAACCAACTGATTTCCCATAACAAAATGCTGGCTCCGTGTGTGCCTGCCTTGTCCAAAGGAATACTCTAGTGCTTGTTGCTATTTACTGGCAACAGTATAATGCACTCATTTGGTCTTGTTTTCTAAAATAGAGTTAACTGCTATATGTAAAATTTCTGCACAGCAGATGGTTACCAATGATTATTTTCCATTTGTTTAGTTTCTAGTAAGAAGAGGAAAACCTGTAGGGTAGTGATGCAAAGAAAAACTAGCAGCCTGCATGACAACCCAACCAGTGTCAGAATATGCATTTTTTTAAAAAACCAAAGAGTCACTTTGATCGCGTAGCACATCGAGACTAAAATTTCGAGGGATGCAGTGAGGTTATTAACTTCATTCCCAACCATAAAGCAAAATGCATTTGAACAATTTATTTCTTAGTATAAAATCCTCTAAAATTTAGCCTCTATATATTTTTAAGTGATCAAAGTTTCTAGAAGCAACTTATTATAAACATTAACGCTTGTCATCACCCAAGCTAAAATCACTTTTTTTTTTTTTTACCTCTAAGTAGCCCAGTTGTCCAACAGAAAATGGGAAATAGGAGCCATTTGTGGACAAGTGCACATGCACAGAAAATTAAGCTGTAAATATCTGGACCAGGTTATTACTGGAATCTGGAAACATCTGGGGCTACAGAGTAAGCCAAGCCCCATTTCCACAATGTCCAGGTAATTGCTTAAATGATTTATACCTTACTGTTTCTATTAAAAATGTCTTTAAAGAAAAACATTTGTAAGCTTGATTCTGCAATAAAAACTGGTATCTGATTTCACTTGTACAAAATCTTGTGAAAGATGCTACCTATCTTCAAGGACATATGCATGGCTAAACTAAACCTTGGACAAAGACAGGGCTAAAAGAAGGCGTGGCCGACCACTGAATGAAAACAATTGTATCACGAGAGCACATTATAGATGTTTATTTGTGATTAGTTTCTATTCTAATCAAAAGAGTCCATTAGAAAACATTCTTTTCATGCATATAGGACAAATATATTTAAGCCATTTTAGGGTAAACTTGGACCTCAATATCTGTCTTCAATTTTAGTTCTAATTAATTTCTCATAAATCTTGTTTACTGGCACTTCAACTGAGTATCAAACCAAACCTAACCCCTAAGGGACAAATAAGTGCCGCCTCCAAGACAGACTTGTACCACTTAGTTAAGAATCTGGAAAGATATTTAAATTGGTTCACTTAGATGGTGTCTGTATGGAGCTACGAACTGGTCCATTCAGAATGAAAGAGCTTTCAACACTGTCATTTGTTGCAAAGACAGATTGCTCTACTGAATAAATACACAAACACACACGCACACACGCACGCATGCACACACGCACGCACAGGTACATGTACATATGTAGACGTATTGACCTGAAATAATTTTATCTTTTATTTCAGATCTTAGGCCAAGAGGACAAATATAGTTTCACATTTTTCAGTAATTGCCATGTCTGGATCTAGCTAAAAATTCAATTACTGACAGCTGCCAACTATGCATATAGGGGCAAAATAAATAAATAAATAAAAAGGAAGGGAGGGAAGAAGAAAGGAGTGAAAGAGGGCAGGCAACAAAATAAACAATTAACCACTGACATTTGACCATGGCTCATAGTTTGTGGCCGTCAACTTACATGATTACTATCAGAGAGGAATCAGCCAATTTTCCTCTACCAGAAGGGTAAAGGAAAATTTGGGTGGCATTGTATAGGTAAGTAATTCTCATGAATATTTTTATTAGTTTAAAACTCCACAACTTCCTGATTATAAACCAAGTAGAATTTTAAGCCTCTATCTTTTAAATATTTCCTAGATTTTATTTGGTTATTGGCAAGCTACCACTATAAGGCTTTATAATTTGTGGTCTTTACTCTCAATCTGATGGCTTTAATTTACATTTTAACAATTTTATCTTACTTGAAGTATATAGAATGATTTCTAGAAAACCAGAGGAGTCTATTTAACAAAAGAACTAAACACATGGGTCTTCACTGTTGTAGTCAAATTGCAAAAATGCTTTTGCTACTTCTAACATATTGTTTCACAATCTTTACTATTCTACCTACAGTACACTGTACTAGTAGAGCTCTTTGCTGAAGATGCAGTGTTTTTATACAACTAACTAAGCAACATTTGTCCATTATAGCTCACTAAATGGCACAACTCTGTAACAATTCAGGTTCAACAATCAGCACTGCAGATACTTTCCTCTACATAGAGTGTATGACATCAACCTAGATTTCAATATGAAGTGGTAAGATAGCATCTAGAACTTTTCAGCTCTCAAGAGCCCAAACTGGAAGAAAACGAGTGAGCTTTCAATAAAGGTTATAGGTTTTCTTAGTAAAAAATGTGTTTTTAAAAGAATGACAATAGGATCTTTGTTTTTTTCTGGGTTCTTTGATGAAGCAATGTGAGCAAATGCTTTTCTCTGGTACATCTTTAGGTTAAAAAACACAAATGTAAAGTAGAAATCTTGTCAAATACTATTGCCTAACTCTTTACAATTTAGCATTTGATCAAACTGAATTTGCCTTAGAAATACTATAATGCTATTTATTGTAACATTCATGGCAGATTTGAGAAAGTCACTGACCCTTCCACAAGCACACAAACCCAATTGGTAAAGCTACTACTGAACCCCTAAAAGACAGAGTTATTTGTTGGAATCCCAGCTAAATTGTTTACTGCTAGGTATTCAGCACAAATTAAATTAACAGACACTGTTTAGTTAGAGAAAGGGGCCAATTAAAATGTTAACCAAAAACATTCATGAATTAAGTTATCATATCAATTGCAGATCGACTAGTTTGCATCTCACATTTTACCACCCAATATCATCATATTTCTCAGGAAATCTGTCTTGAGTACTGATAGGGCACATATTTGCAACTGCCTATTTATCAGAGAAAGGACAAAATAGAAAGAAATGCTTTAGGAGGTACTTATTTCCCACGTTCAACTACAAGCAGAGTAGCTGTCAGTCAACTCTACATTGGTAAGAAGTGAATCTAGAAGTCTCAAAGTCTAATATTTTATAATTCTGTACCCTCAAATTTTTCTGACTGCAAACACATGAGAAAAAAACTATTTCAAAAGAAAATAGTGATTTAAAGCTATCTGCTATACCTATAATAAAAGTAGGTAAAGATTTATGTTTTATAAGATTTTAAAGATAGCATAATAACTTTTTTTATAAAAGAGTTTCAATGCTCTCCTATCTAGAGATACAAAAATAGAATTAATGACTCTAAGCTCCTTTTAAAGTATATAATTATAAAACTATTTTTCAGGGTTATAAAGTCTTTCTTTGGTAATAACATTACATAAAGAATATAGAAGTTTCAATTTTTAAATGAAATATACAATTTTCAAAGATCTATTCTTTAAATATTTTAATAGCATCTTTCAATTTTTTAAAGTAAGATTAATAAGATATTAACCAAGTGATAGTCTCCTATGCTTTTATCAATTCAATTCACCAAACATATATTGAATATGTATTATAGGTCTTATACTATAAACACATGTTGAAGAGATTAAAAATAAGAATGAATTAGATGTGTCTGCTCTCAAGGAATTTACAGTTTCATAATTTACAGAAACACAAATGCCTAGCAATCTAGGAGAAAGATGATGGTAAGTGATCTAAAGGAGATATTTCAAATGTTCTAAGGGACAAGTAAGTAGATGTCAAAATCAATCCTAATTAGGGTGCCTCAAAGAAGTCTTCACAGATGATGCAACATCTGACCTGGATACAAAAGTCCTAGTAGAATTTCAACAAGTGGAGAAGCACATGTCAGGAAGTGAAAAGAAGGTGAACAAAGACTAGTTGCTAATAAAGTACAGGAAAAAAGGCATTGCTTTCAGTTTGATAAAAATCCACTTTCATACTAAATATTTTAAGGATTTGGGGTCCCTAACTCCACTGCTTAAGTTAATCTGGTTGCCACTCTATTGAAATCTCTTACAGGAGAAAAGCATTAGCTAACTAGTACCCATCAACTCTTAAGATATTAGAATTGCTGACACTTTTGCATGCAACCAATTAATAAGCGTATTTAATGAATGCTTATCATCTCTTCTGATCGGCTTAACAAAGTAATAAATGGTCCTTGAGCTTTCTACATTGTTTCCAAGATAATTTCTGGAGCTTTTTTACAAGAAACAAAAATATTTTGCAACTTTTAAGCCACTAGCAAGGGTCCAAGTTACTTGAGTTTACTAGTCCATGACAAAGGTTCATGGAGTATACAAAACTGCAAGAAATCTTAACAGTCATCGGATCACCTCAATCATCTCTTCTTTTATAAAAAAGTAAACTAAAAACTAAGGCTCAGAGAGGTTGAATGGCTTACCCAAGGCAACAAAATGATAGACCATGGGCTTCAGCTGACACTGTCCTTCATCATTCTTATTTTACTGAGGTGTTCTTACAGGCCCGGTAGAAATGTTTTCAAAAGTCTAGATAGGTTGTTGAACTTCCGCCAGATAATGAGCTATCTGTATATGTCATTAGTATATTCAGTTCTGAATAGATATCTTTATTTTCATAACTTCAAACCAGGAAGAATGATATTTTTTAAAAGGTGAAAAGTTTAAGATCTCCTGAGATGTGTAAACGTTTGGTTTACATTAGAGTCATCTGGGAGCTTAAAATTTCATGTAACTGATCTGGTGTAGGGCTTCGGCAAAACTTTTTTATTGTTTTTTGTTTGTTTGTTTGTTTTGGGTTTTTGTTTGGTCATAAAGTTACAGCTAGCATTTACTGAGTTGATACAAAATTTGACATCAAATTTTTCTAAAATCAATTCAAAGTATTAACTCCTTCAATGATTTGAACTTCCATAATGGCAATAAATACATTAGTTTCCAAAAGAAGTCTTAAAAGAGATGTACCTCCACCTTCCATGAATTTTCTTCTGTCACTTCATTTGTGGCCTAAACAACTTGAGTGAGAGAAAAAAAAGAGTCTGAGAATAATTTGAACCATCTTTAAAGGCATATATATGTTTCCACACTTTTAAAATTGCGGGTAGAAAAATGAGAATAGTTCTTTTAATTTGCATACTCACAAATCCCATATAGTCAGGATTTGACATAGAATCAGTTGTTCCTAAAATGGAGAATATAATTTGTTAAAATAGTGCTACATGCTATTTACGGAGTACTGGTCAAGGATTCTTAATAAGTGATAAGGTTTATTTTACAAAATTAATATTAGGATTTAATTTATAAAATTTCCAATATCATTTTGAGTAACAACCACATGAAAACAGTCTTTAACCTTAGCCTTGCCTCAATGACTTTCTCAAACTTGTGGCCACTTCCCCTATTCCTACATATTGTCTTTCATGAAAAAGGTAGGTTGTCCTTGGCAGCAAAGGTTGTTTTACTTTTCCCTAATATATAGCCTAACATTATCCTCTTAATTAATTCAAACTACCGCTCATGATCTAAATATCATATTCCAGTGGCTGAAATGAAATTTTGTTATCCAGCTTATCAAGTAATAACCAGCCTTGCAGATAATTATCAAAAAAGAAAAGAAAAATAACAGCTCTTCAAAACGCTACATAGCTAGGTAGGTAGGAAGATGGCTGAGACAGAGAGGTTCTTGGTGAATATTCAAATAGCAAAATAGCAGAAAACATTTTACCTCTAGCCCTAAGCAAAGGACATCAGCAGGCTGTGGTTAGAAAATACAGACAATATGTATTTAAATATGTATTTAAGTATACATGTATATTCCATTCATATATGAGCAACACCTCCCATCTTAGTGGTTGTGGCATTTTGGTGTGGCAGGGTAAATTTTCAAGGATCTGTCATTACATGGTGGTAAAACTATAGATTTTTACCCATCATTATACACAAACCTATACTATATGTTGTACTGTCCTTACTAGATATCTTTAAAAATCAATAGTACCAAATAGTTTACCCATAAGCTCTTTTTACTTTGATGCTAAAATAAAACAAGACAAAAATTTTAAAAAAAAACTAAACAAAAAAGGCATTATTGTACTGCATACACTCATTTAGAGATGTATTAAAGAACAAAATATAATAAAAAGCTTTCAGTGTTAAATATTTATAATACTTTAACTGCCAAGAATGTTATTGATGGAGATTTAACACCCATGTTTTAAAAAAATTCTCAAAAGAATTTTGCTTATGTACAATTTTTACTTTTTCTAAAGAGATAGCTGTTCTACCTGAACATCTATTTCTGAATAAAATTCTACTCTCTTACCATCCATGAGTAAATTCATACGGATGATTGGTTGATTAGTACTGTTAGAATTACAGAAAACATATTTTTCCAATTAGGTAACGCTTATTATATTCATAGTAGGTTTAAAATCTTCTCAGAAAAAGAAAAAGCACTGTTCATATAGGCATATAAAACTGCAAAGCTGGTAATATTTTTTCCTCCCAGTTTGTCTGACAAGGATTCAGGCCATTTGGGGTCCCAATGTCTACCTTTGGGTCCTATCAGTATTTCCCTCCCCAAAAATCCTGCTTTATCTTCTGAATAATGCAAATGAAAATCTCTCTTTAAAAGAGAACTTTGTATTGACACTACTGGCATAGGATACCACGATAAGGGCAGGGGGAGTAAGACCCACATCTTTTGTAAGTTGGGCCTAAAATTGACTCCAGATTTGCAAGGCATGAACAGAAAGTCAATGTTAATATAGATGTGCTTTAGAAAGTAAAAATGGCGATTATTCTTAACAAGTTACATATTGGGTATTATTCTTCAAAAATGACTCATAAAATATCTTTTTAAGTACTTAAAGTCAAGAATGTGTTTTATTCTTTTACCTCTGCTTGAATGTAATTTTTCATTTCCAGGAAAGGATACATTTTCTAACTAACCCCCTTAACCTAATTACTCATCAAGAAATACCAAAAGTGTCCCTGACATCAATACCTTCACAAAGAAATATATCTATGCACACGCACAAGAACATATTCCATTTAGATAATCAAAAGTGCAATTTTTATTTAAAAGATTCCCTTAGATCCACGTAATTCCTAGCAGTAAAATTTATCAAAAGCACTTAGTTTGCAAACAATAAGACTGCCATATCTATAGCCTTATTTCTTTATCCATATACTTTAATTGAAAAGTATGAACTATTAAGCATAAAAGGATAATAGTACTGTTTATTTCACAGCATTTGCTTGATCTGAAAATGGGGATTATAATGAAAATGCCTTCAATCTTAAGGGAACCTTTTAATCCTACTCAGGATAATCTATCTTGTAAGATTAAAATCAGTGAATCATACCTAATTAAGATTTATAATTTAGCATCATTGAGGTATACGATCTAAGAGAAAGTTTACAATCTTCAATTTGAAATGGAAAGGGAAAAGAAATTAACACACGAAAAATAAAAAAGCTATTTTTGGCATAACAATATTCTATATTGCCACTTATTTATCCAGATTCTTAGTTTGATCATTTTTAAAGCAAACATTTAAAATGAAAATACGACATTCCAAAGTATAGGAGTAAAGCAGGAAATGAAGACTCCCAATTGAAATTATAGTACAGAATTTATAGATAGAACACAGAACATTAGAAAATATGAATAGTGGCTAACTACCTACTAAAATATTTCAAGTTTGCAATGCCTTCGTAAAAATAACTAACTAAATAAATAAAATTTTTTTTTAAAAAGGTTCCTAAACTGTGGGGTAAATTTTTAGTTAAATGGGACACTGTTATAATAGTTATTTCTAAGCTTTCCTTTATTAAAGTGCCTATCAGTGTGGAGAGCGATGCCTTGTTGTTACACAGGGCAAAGATTTTTCTTCTTAGAAAGTCTCATACGTAGCATTTCTACCCACAAAGTCTAACAAGGCATTCAAAATAAGTTCAGTTTTTTTCTTCCTCAAAAATATCTTTAAAGCCCCCCACTTTCACCCCAGTCTTGGATTACATAAAAGAATAGTTACTTTTTCCAAGCCCTTTGATATTTCCCTTCCTGGCAGAGTCATCTGATGTGAGAAATATCTTTTGAAAATAAATGGTGCAACTTCAAGTGCACTCAGATCCATACTTGCTGGACATTCCATCATATCTCAGTTTTGATTTGAAAAAGCCACTTGACTTCAAAATTCAGTTTTAGGTATCTCAATATGAAGTTCGATCTCATTGATAAGTACTATGGGATGCAACAATGTAAATGTTTTGTCCACCTATCAGCACAGAATGTTCAAACCAAAGGGGTAAAGGAGTCATATGACTAATTTTCGGGGTCGGGGGTGAGTATTGAAATACAAGTTGAGAAACTGAGTCCAGGATTTGAAAATAGCACACTGCAACATTAGTGTTACTGCATGAAAGAGTTACTTTTCATCTTTAACACAGCTGTCACCACATGTTTATATAGCTAAAATACCACTTTGTAATGTCAAAGTATTAATACTGATACCATTATAACAAGGTTATTTGGGGGGTTTGCCCCTCCTTCCTGTCATTCAATGATTATGCTTTCACTTTTTGAATGCTCAGCAGTTTGTATTAGATAATATAGGATTTCTACACTAAAAAAAAAAACAAACCTCATTTTACTTGTGCCTTAATCTAGGAGGGGCAGTGCCGGTGCTTGGTAATAGAGAACCTCCTTGGCTTTTAACTACAAATCTCACTGAAACCCTCCCAACCTAATTATTCTGAGCCTGGGAATAAATACTGAAGTATGTACCTACATGTAACTCATTAAAAAAAAAAGTTCCTTTTAAGAATATTTACACAAAAATTCACGTGATATATAGGAGATATATGAAGACATAGGGCAAGACGAGACAAAAGCAAATACTTCAATCCCCTGTTCAGGTACAGAAAAAGGAGGAGATATTTAGTGGTCTATTTCCCATCAGTTTTAGTAGTATCTTTTACGGCAGAGGCACATGGAATCATTGCGGAATAGTCAGTCTCCAGTAGGAAACCTAGTGACTTCCACAAAGTTGGCCCTAGATAAAAGTCTGTAGGTGGTGAAGGCAGGGCTGGCTTCATTGACCTATCATTTGTGCAGGCACACAGTCCCCCTCCCCCCAACACACACACACATGCACGCACGCACACACACACAAGCACACACCCAAAGGGCCCTGCATTTTGTTTAATGGTCTGTGTTGCTGTCTTTAAATTAATTTTTGAACAAGGTACCTCACATTTTAATTTTGCACTGGGCCTCAGAAATTATGCAGCCGGTCCTGGAAGAAGGTAAAAATGTCTGTAAATGGTGAGGATAAGTCAAAACATAAGCAGAACGTTTAGAACAACATACAGAAATCCACGGCTTCACATTGCACTACTTTTAAAATGTTATTTGGCATGTTACTATTTCCAAGAATAATATTTCATCATGAACTAATGCATGAAAGTAGAAGTCACCAATTCTCAGGTTAGTTTACTCTCATATATGGATGGCATTTAATCGTCAGTTGTTTAAAAAGCATCCAGTTGACATAAGGCAAACATTACGTAAATCGGAAAAAACTATATATATCTATAAAATGGAGTAAAATGCAGTTTCTGTTCTCATGCCAGGAATACATCCACAAGCAGAATGGAATAAGTATATAAAATACCAGCAGAAATTAAAACCTATAGGAAAGTAAAGGTATTTTTAACATTATGAAATTGGGTAAAAGAAAACATTTTATAGGTATTTTATATTTTATATACTGTAGTTAAAAAAAAAAGCTTTATTGTAAATTATATATCCTTAATAACTGTTTGAAAAAAAGCTTCTCATCCTATGAAAATGAGAACAGAAACCTAGTAAAAAGCAAATTTCCCAAGATAATAAAACACACTTTCTAAAAAACATTTCCCAACACAAAAATACCAATACTTAAGCTGAACTATAGGGTAAAAAAAAGTTTAACCTTGGCCCTTCATATAATAAATCATGCATTCTGTTTTCAAGATGTATCAGTTTCAAAAATGATTGGAAGCAGTGATACTATAAATGCATTGTGAAAGTCATGAGAGCTAAAATATGAGCAAACATATCCATTTATACATATATTTAACATAAATACATCTAAATTGAAATTCTCCTTTGGATTTACTGCTTTGGATATACCCTGAAACAACAGCCCACCATATGCAATGTTAAGCAAAGTGTCAATATTCAAATAACAAGACAACAAGCAGATTTGTTGCATACAATATGTAAATATTATTAAAAGAAAGTGCCATATGATATCTTGTGTTTTGATGGTTTCTGATCACCTATCTTTTCTGCCTCCTCAGTCTCTTAGCTACTGTTGTCAACAGGTACTTACGGATGTGCGGTACTGAGGCAGCGCTTCTGAGCAGGCACCTGTGGTGCTGCCCTAAGAAAACATGGCATACCTCTTGCTTTTGATTTGCTTCAAACTTATACGTACCATGTATTTTGAGTATATTCTTGAATACTCCTTATTTCTACTATTTTACTTTTTAAAATAAACATATCTAAAATAAAATTGCCATTTAAATTATAACATCAAAAATATCAAAAGGATCAGTAATCAGCAATCATACCAAAGCAGCTATGCTTAAAATTTCTACCAGAAGTTAAATGAAAAAGTTAATGTTAAAAATTCAAGTTTAGGAAAAAAAGAAAATGACAAAATCCAACCATGGAAAGCACTTGCTAAACTGGCCATTTATTTGCAGTCTGTTGAAAACATTCTTTCATTTTCAATAAACAAAATGTAGGTACAATCTCTCTCTCTCTCTCTCTCTCTCCCCCCCCCCGTGTGTGTGTGTGTGTGTGTGTGTGTGTGTGTGTGTGTGTGTTAGCTGAAAGACAGAATAATTTGGGGACTTGTAAGCTTCCAAGTGGTACCCCCAAATAATTTCTAAGTTCAACCAATTTCACTAAAACATTAGGTCTTGTATAACTCAAAAGAAAGACACATAAGATTTTTTGATTGAGAGCTAAAACTTGCATCATTTTCTGTACCATTTGTTTATTCTAGTTTATCAATGATGCAAGAAAAACAGCAGATATGCTGACTAATCAAGTTTATCTATTAGTAGCATATGTCAATATTTCAAACAAACTGCAGAATAGTTTCTCCCAATCAAAAATTTATAAATCAATTTAAATTCCTGGTAATTAAATGCATTAGCTCTTCAACAATGAACATAGTACTTTACAAAGAGTATTATGCGAAATCTGCACTCACAAATATGTTGATCAAAGGTAAAACAGCACCTTTTTATATCTATTAAACCAAGGTTCTAAGAACTAGAAAGTTCAAGACATAAAAGCCTGCAATTGTTCAAAATACAACTAGTAATTCTGCTGATTTTGGACCATTACAACTGATTACTTAACTAGGCAATCATTGAAGACATACAGACACACACAAACAAAAACAGGGAAGTATTAGCATGGCTGTCTTCACCTTGAGATGAAAATTCTGAAAAAACAATGCAGACTCTCAAACTGTCCCTAGGCATGAACTGAGTAAGATACTAATTTCTAAAAGGTGACAACCAGAAGCTCAGGAAAAAAAAGAATTAACCCATAATGAAATTACCCATATTTTTTCGGGTGGTTTATATTTAGACTATCTTAGAAATGCCAAGTCATAATACAGATGGTCTCTACAGATTCTTGGAAATACCACCTCTTTTCTTCCCTCTGGTTACACTCTTATAGTATCATCTAAAAGTAATTAATGAAATTTCTGCACTCTTGTATATTTATCAGAAGTAACTACCTACAAAAAGGTTTTCAAAGTTCCTGCCTAACATGAATAAAAACCAAAACAAAAAACATTTTCTATTTATGGGAAGGAAAAAAATATCAGCCCTGGAAACTCAGCTGCAGGAGTCTTAAATACAACGAAAGAATAAAACCCACTACTTTCACTCAGAAGATATCAGATACAGTTTAAAGAATCTCACTGATTCAATACAGATAGAAAAATGAAAAATACTGCATTTTCAGAAAAAAAAAAAAAAGGTGTTTCTTGAAACAATTCCAAACAGACTCTATAAACTGTGTTTTCAGAAGAGAAAAGCAAATCAACTTACACATACAGTTTCCAAACAGAAGTCTTACCCTCTTCCAGGAAAACAACAATAAGACTTTATTACCCTGCTATGATTCTTTCATTTCAGACATGATTAATTAGCAAGTATTACACTTCCCAAAACTCCCAACATACTCTTCCCTATTTATTTGACGATAGATTCACATGAAATAACAACTTGCCTCCAGCAGTGTAAGACAAGTATCCAAAAACTCTGCTTCAAAGAAGGAACACTTCTTTCCTATCTTTGCCTCCCAGAATGAAGCAGGCTGCTTCTAACTGCTTTCACAATGTTTTTTTCAACTTAGTCATTTTCCTAACAATACTTTCTAAATTTTAAATAATGCATACAACATATTCATTATTCAAGAATACATAGCATGTTTAATCTGATACCTCTATTTTTAAGCTGAAATTCCACAGGACTTATGTGTCCATGTAGTTTATACTGATAACCATAAACATGCACAATTAATAAACAATAGAGACGATGTATGCAAACATGTTTTGGGACATGGTTTTTGTAGAAACAATGTTTTTTTTTTCCAAATAAAAGCTAATTTTTCACAAATATAATGAAAATAAGAAGCAAGAATTAAGGAGTAAAAGACAGGGAGAGGAGGATAACTAAAATTCGAATGAATGAAAAACTCTTGACTCTCTTTATATTCTTCCAAAATACACTTTCAAAATAATTTTTATTTTGAATAATCTATGTTCAAAATGTCCATTCCATGTGCACCAAGAAGCCAGCCATCACTAAATGTATTACAAACGTATATTTTAACAATCCTCAATTTATAAAGTCTGGGATTTCCCCTTCAACCTTTCAACTGTTACGTCCAGAAAACTTCACACATAGTGAAATCCTAATAAATAGATCCTGTTGGTTCCAAGAAACATTTTTAAAAATCTATATTGGTCAAAATATCCTTGCTTTTTTTTCTGTTGTATTAAATTTAGGATCAAAAACATCAAAGCAGCTTCCACCTCAGAACTAACTTTTAGAGGATCAATGTGACAAGGCAGTCCCTGATAGATGTTTCTCTTGATAAACGACTTGTTCAAAAGAGACATTGTAGCTTTCATTTCCTGACCACAACACACTTTTAATTTGCAACAGCAGAGCTGCCAGAGTGTGAGCACTTGCCCACTTTCTAGTCTTTTAGGTTTGTAGCTCTGGTTCCTTTAGGCCACACATTTGAGACAAACAAAATCTAAAAATAATCAGAGTAAAGAATTAGAAAGTAGGAGCCACTAATGCCACTTTATACATATACACAAGTGTCTCCTTTATATACGTGTATATAAACTTTCCCACCTAGAATTCTAATATATGATAACAAGACTCCTAAGTTAACATCATTTGCACATCAGACATTTAAACATAGGGAAATGAATTATGTGACTATTATTTAATAGTAAGCAGAGACTTAAGAGGGTGGCAATTTACACACTCAAACCTGCTGTTAAATGTCATGAATTATATAACTGCCTATGCCAGTATGTTTTTTATGAATTATTGCAAGGATTGTTATTAGTACTACCTAGAAATCACATTTAAGTATCAATACGGTGAACAGTCAAACCATCCAATTTCTGCTCTCAGCACATTGTCCGAGCTCCGATTTAAAATTTATAAATGTAATATCCTCCTCATCACAGGCAGCAGCCCAATCTGCTCTGAATATATATTACAGCTTTAACATCACAGAGGGAAATCGCCCATCTGGCAATCCCATTCGCTCCAACAGCTCCGGGGGAAAAAAAGCTGTGCTCTCTCCTCCTTAAAACATTTCTCAGGACAAATTATGTGCATCTAAAATAAACAGTCTTCTTATTGATCGCTTCAAAGTCAACAAGTTCCAAATGCAAAATTCAATCAGATCCTTCCTATCGTGTAAGTGTGGTGTGTATTTAGCTCAATAGTCACCAGGGTCCAAACAGAAGTGCATGTCGCGCAAAGGGTCTTGTAGTTCCTCTCTTCGGATTCACATTTGTGTTAGGAGAGAGCAGTGATCACGGCCACACTACAGACCCCTGGCAGATTTGCCCCACTGTTATTTCTTTTTTCATATTCTCTCTTTCCTTCTTTCTTTTGAGGAGGAATTAATGGTCATGGGGTAAATATAACAAATAGAACAACAACAATAACAAAAGCCAGTTTAAAGTGGACATGTCCTTTGGTTATGCAAAATACTTTACATCTTTTTGTTGTTGTTGGTGTTCCCTCTCAGTCTTAATTGAATATCACAAAGTGTACACAGGGCATTGCCACAAGAGCTATTGAAAACCCCCCTCTCACTCCATTTAACTGACCTTTTTTTTTTTTTTTGGGTAAAGAAAGAGGAAAGAGCGATTTCAAATGAAGTCAATTTCAGTGCCTGATTATTTAATTCTGTCACAAGTTAAAAGTAAAAAGCGCTGACAGGAGAGACAAGTCAATGGAAAGGGGAAAAAAAACCTACCCCTATTCTTTAAAAGGCATCAAGGACTTTGGGCAATCAAAATATATATATTTTTTATTTTCATGTAAAAGACACCTCTTCACTCAGCGTCCCCTCCAAAAAAAAACACACTCTGAAGAACCGATTACTCCATAAAGTGCAATCATCGAGAGCAGATAGTCAAATTGCATTAATAGATTGAGAAAAATAAAATTTCCATCCAGTCCTGTTCCCGTGTGTGTACATATATATATATATATACACTTTCATTAGTTAGTAATCTTTCCCAACACTCCTGCTCTCTCCCCTTTGCCCAGCCTCCCCCCTCAAGAAAATAAAAAAACCCACACTGAGTTTAACTAATTTACATACTATTTGACTTCAGCAGTTATATAGTGTATTACTAGTAACATGCAACTTCTGGATGACAGCTAAAACCGATAAAAGTGGATTCAGGTGATATATTAATCAAAACTGCAATATACAAACAAGTGATAGCAAAAGAAAAAGAGCATGGTGACATTAAACATATATTAAAAAAAAAAAAAAAAAGGAATTCTATATCATGAGCAACTGTTCGCCAAGCAGTCTTCAATGGTTTTATCATGCTATTTCATTTGTCTTTCCTATTTAGATGCAAAGGAAGTAAATTCCAAAACTGACATACCATAAACACTGGTGCTACTGATCATTTCTTGCTGGCAGCACAAAAAGCTGAATTGGATTTCTCACAAGCAGGAATTCCAAAGGTTGCTTTTCATTAAAGCCACTTTTCCTCTCAGCTATCAAATGTCACTGCCTTGAAACGTGGGCCCTTTCGTCAGGTATTCATTTAACCTACATGCATATAATTAAGGGGGAAAGCAACATCAACAAAAAGGGGATCTCAGATCACAGGAGAAGAAAGAAAGGAAAAAAAGCACATGACCAGGAATGCAAGTCCATGTCAATTTCACTCACTCCCATTGAAACTAACAAGAGCTCCGGGGAGGACGGTAATAGGATCAGTGGATTGTATATACCATTAAATTATACATCTTTCTCTCCCGTTCCTTGCCAACAATACGCCCACCACGCTGTACCCCCTCCTAGATGATGTGCTTACATTTTTCTGCAACCGATCTTCTGACATTTTCTCGTTCCCTCAGCCACGAGATTGTAATTTAACCTCAACTTTTTGTGTGTGTGCAAGATTCTTATTTACACTTCTTATTTACTTAGAAGTTAGTTCCCGAAGAAAGTCTAGCCCCACCCTATGGCTCCGCTTTCTTATTTTTCAATTTTGAAGTAAAAAGATAGTAATAAGTAAGCCCAATATAGCGAAAAGCGAGATTCTTGCAATCGCGAACTCTTAATCCCATACTATTGTTACAATGATTAAGCAGCAAAAATATGCATTATAATGTTTCGGGGCTACTTTGAACAGAGAAATTAGACAGCAGGTTGGCGTACAGAATAGAAACGAGTGTAAATTGAATTTAATGTTTACAGCACAACTCGAAGATCTCTTTTTATTACAGGTCTTGTATGTATTTATATTCTTTAAAAATAAAACAAAAACAAATTTAAGCAGATGGTAGAAAACTACGAAGCTCCTCTTACCTGAACGCGCGGAGAGAGAACCCGATAGGTTAGCGTAGCATCGATCCGATGTGTTTGCTGATGAATGGAAGCTAGGGTTAAGTGAAGGTGCCTATGATTTGAAATCATTCCAAGTTTTTGAAGGGAAGACGGACTGCAGCCTCTGCCATGTTGGAATTTCAAACCCAAAACAGCTGCTTGGAAGGAGCCAGCATGCCAGAGGCTGGGCGCAGGCGCAGAGCGCCGCCGAGCCAAATTCAAATCACTTTCACACTAAGAGCCAAAGATCAGTTTTCAAAGGAGAGAGGGAGAAAGAGACGGAGGCTGCCGTGAGGGAGAGAAGACGGGAGGCAGTGGCGAGAGGCGGGCAGTGGAGAGAGACGGGCAGCGGGAGGACCGAGAGGGAGAGGGAGAGGCGCTCGGAGCCCGCGGAGCTGGAGGGGGAGAAAGGGAGGCGGGAGGCGAGCGGGCGAGCGAGCTAGAGACGCGCCAGAGATTCATGGGCAGGGAGGGCTCAATGGCCGCGCCGCGCCGGCCGGCCGGCCGCTCGGGTCATGTTACACGGCCGGGGCCGCGGCGGCCGCCCAGCCTCGCCGACGCGCTCACGCGGCCCGGAGGGGGCCCCGAGGTCATGATTACGCGCGCGGGGACTCGCAGCTCTCCCTGGGCGCACTCTCGGGCGGCCCAGCCTGGGGAAAGGGGAGCAGCGCCCTAGCGGGGGAAGGGGCCTTTCTTTCCCACGCGTGACCAGCCGGCCCCTGCGCTCCCGGGCCTGCCTTGGAGGGCCCGCGACAGAGCCGCGCAGCTCCACGGCCCGCGGGCCCTTCCCTCCCGGCTCCCGGCCCTCTAGACAGCTGCGGCCCGTCCGCCCTTCCCCACCCCCTCTGCGCACGGGACGGGATCTGGTCCCGAGAGCCGAGACTTCACCGGCACCCTCCCCGGGGCCCCCAGCGACAGCGACAGCCAGAAAATGACTTGATCTGCTTAGAAGAGGCAACTTCGGGGGGAAAATCCGCATTCACCCAGTTCCCCTCCCCCGCCTCCCTGTGAATAAATAAAATCCTAAGTGTCTAGGTGTGCGGTCCCCTCTCGCGCTCCCGGACACCCCTCCCTACCTCCCCTCCCTACCTCCCCCAGGCGGCTCGGGCCGGAGAAAGCAGCGCCCGGGGGGCCACGGTGCCGGCGGCTGGTGCGCAGGCATAGACGTTAGGCTTCTGCCTTCCCAACCCCCCTCTATGGAGCAATCTGGGGACTCAGGAGTGTGAAGAGAGTAGGGGCTTTGTGGTGGTAGGAGCCGAGGAAGAATGAAATGTGCAGTTGAGTGTGTTGCTCGCATCCCAGGGAGCAATGCAGTGCTGATTGTCTGTTGCTGAGATAGCCTTTTGTTCGGAACATAAGGTTTAAGAAACACACACGTTTTCTGGGGTCTCTTGTTAGATGTAAATGTGCGGCATCCAGACGCTTACTATGCAGTGTAAGCTCAGTTGGTTTACTAATCACCCCGCCCCACCCGCAAACAATCAGGATCATTTGAATGGGAACCTCATTCAGACTTCTAGGCTGAGAGTATTGCCTTCAACCTATTTCATTCTAGACTAGCCAACCATCCAACTGAGATAATAAAGCAAACAATAACATTTGATCATGATGTCTACGAGATAATGTGCCCGGCAAAGTTCTTTAGGAATTGTAATGAGAAAGAGAGTGAATTGGGTCATAATTTCTCTTCGTTTTCATTAAATATGACTAATAGATAAATGGTGAGTTTATACTTTGGCCTGGTGGACATCCAGCCCTCTATATTTCAACGAAGCTAAGAACGAAAGAGGCAAATTACATATTCCACCAGGAGCCCATCAAGCTGAAAATGTTACCTTTGAAGGTTGGAACCGAAAATGCACTTGCTGAGGACTGACCCTCCTCGAAAGGGTGTTCACATTTCCCCCAGCTTCTCTGTTGTAGATTTGATAGCCTAAATTGCAGCTCTCCAGATGCTGAAACGCAGCTCTTTAAAAATGCCAAATATATACTTTGAAATTAATTCCATTCTCCTTTTATGATATTCTTACCTTTGAATGGATGCCTTTAGCTAACACTCTGAGAAATAAAAATTATTTTAGTTAAATCTAGGCAGATGACAGAATTTAAAAGACAAAAAAGAGTGATTCGAGATCCTAAGAAATATTTCTAAGCAATGCGATTTCTATTTGGAATGGATTTGACCTTTCTGTGCATTTTTTTAAAGGAGTCTTCGAAATAAAACAGAAGAACTTTATTCTAATGTAACAGAGAACACTGAAACCTCTTTAGTTATATTTTACAAGATAGCTTTGAAAATGATATTATGAAAAGTTGTTCATTGGATTTTACCACAAAGAAATAAGTGTAGGAAAATATCTGTGAGTCATTGTTGGATTGAGTACAGATGAGTTTAAAAAAAAAAAAAAAAAAAAGAAAAGAAAAAACTGTGAAGCGCTCATAATCGCAGTTATTGCCCATTGGGGGAATGATGACCAGAAGTCCTCTGGACACACAGCAGATGCTCTGTGCAATTCGGGCAAAACTGCTCTGTTCTTGTTTGTTAAAAAAGTTCAGAGCTCATCAACCTTTAACATTAAATTCCTAGCACTGAATTTACAGTTCCTTGTATAAATTCAAATAGGGAATAAAATGTATAATAGAGTACCCACTGAATACAAAAACAATGTATTTTGATGATAGGCTTAAAACTATTCATCTGTAATGTCTAAAATAAAACAACCACTGCTCTTTAAACAAAAAAGGAGGAAAAAGTGTGGTTAGCAAGAGTTTATTAATAGACAATAACTCCTACCTTTCCAATTCCCTTATAGATTCATTTGAAATACACATTTTAAAAAACATTATTCAACATGCAAATAAATATAATTAACTTTGGAATCAAATAATTGGCAAACTATTCGAAAGAGCACTGGATAGATGTACAGTTTCAAAATTGTTCAAATTTACATATACTCTGGGAGAAAAAGAGGTTTACATAATAGAATATGCATTATAGGACTTGCAAAATAATAAGATACACGGGAGTTTGTCATTGCACTATTTCTACCTTTTTTTTTTTTTTAATTTTAGATATGGGTAAAAGTTCCTTTTCTCTAATATTTCAAGCAAAGGAAAATAAAACGACTTCCTTTTTCACAGAGATCCATTGCTTTGTTTACAATGTTTCATAGTTTTTGTTGTTTTAATAAAACTATCTTTAATGATGTGGTACGATTAAATAGCATTTTAACAGTCACCATATTCTACGTGCATTTGTCTTCAAAATTTTATTCAAAACAAATGTTTCTGACTGTAGCTGATATCCATCTTTATATATTTTTTGAAACTTCTTGAGATAACATGAGAGTTAAAAATTGAATGTTTAAAGAAAGTTGATTGGCTAGTCAGACAAACAGTTATTTCAGGAAATAATCAATTTGACTAATTTTTTCCCCACTCTTAGCCATATCATTTCTCTTTCTATTTTACTTTTTAAATGTACAGACATTCAAATATAATGCATTACATTTTGACTAATATATGAATTTCTAATAAACAGTATATTCGGACTTATGCTTTTTAGGAAAATCATAAGAAAAATCAACGTAATTTTTTTCTTCAGGAGTGTGTGTGTGTGCGTGCGTGTGTGTGTGTGTGTGTGTGTGTGCATGCGTGTGTATGTGCCTTCCTCTCAGAGGGGAATTCCTAATTCAGAGGGGAATTCTACTTTTTTTTTCTTTTTCTTTTCAAAATAATGTGATCAACAACAACAAAAGTGAAGGCTTAGGAAATAAGCAAGATGATATTGAATGTGACTTTGCAAATGGCCATCTGGTTGTCTGTACTGAACTAAGGATAATATGAGCTAGGCTGGACACAGAGATGTGCCTTACCTAAGTGATGGGAGAGGAAAAGAAAGGAAAGGAAAAAATAAGTGGAGGAAGAAGGTAGACAGCAGGAAGAAAAGATGAGGGAGATATGGGTGACAAGATGCTTTAAAGGAAAAAACAAGTTCGGAGGGCTAAGATGTATAGTTTTTCATAAAATGAAAAACATAAAATGCTAAATCCAATTCAATGTTTCAAATATTGTCTTTTAGATTTGAATTTAAATGTTAAATGTTTTAATAAAACATTAATAATATCTTCTTCCAGACTCCCAGGTTTCAAAACACATTCTAGGACTTAGTAACTGTTTATAAAACTAGACTTTTTCTTTCATATTACTCAGAAAAATCTGAGGTAGGCTCTTACAATAATGCAAATTAGTGACAAGATAATTTTTTAATGCTTCCATAAAATCGCAGTTGATTTTAAGGCTCATCATTTTAACTTCAACTAAGACTACTAAGAAGTCTTTATGTACCACCCTCTCCCCTAAAAAAAAATAAATAAATAAATAAAAAATAAAAACCCACAAAAGCTAGTGAAGATCTTGACCTCATTGAGTAAAATTATTCAATTTGTTCAGAATTACACTCAAATGCAGGTACTGTCAAACGATATTAGTGTGGTTCATATATCTCTTCAGTGATGTAGCTCTACAGTAGAGACAAACTGGAAAATCTTCTAGTACCCTAAGTACTATATTTGAATTCACATATGTTTATAGTGTGTGTACATTTGCTGCAAGTTTTGCCTGATTTTGCGTGGCTCTCAGTTTCATTTAGAAAGTATTAAATACGTACTGTAGTTACAAGTATTACATTAAAAATTGCAGAGGATTTAAAGAAAAGTGACATTAACGTTTTATGGGTGAAGCCAGACAAATATTTCCTAAAGTGAATGTTATAAAGTACAGTTATAAAGTGTTCTGTCTGGAGGAAAATGAGTTCTTTTGTGAAGGAGAGGACAACTTTTCTAGCCTTTGTCACAGCACTCTTTCCTCTCTCTCTTTTTTTTTAATTTAAATTTTTATTTATTGCAAAGAACAGATCTCACTATATTGCCCAAGGTAGTTTCAAACATCTAGACTGCAGCGATCCTTCTGATTGGGCTACCTAAGTGCTGGGATTGCAGGAGCGAGCCACTACGTTTGGCCTTGTCTTAGCAATCTTTATCCGCCAATAAAACAGATCACTTGTAGTTTGCACAAGCAGTACTGTTTCTCCTCTCTATGCCTTGCTGGTCAGTATGCCCCCTTCCTGAATTGACTTTTCCTCTCCTCTTCTGTGGGCTAACTCCCTTAAGACACCCAGCACTTAACCTCTTCCGACCCACTCCCCAACCTTCCCAGAGAAGCTTAAGTATCTTTCGCCTGTTCAGACCCTTTCTTTCTCTCTCTGTACCTTCACATCATTTAAAAAATCTTCATATGTTTCACTACTGCATTAGATTTTGAGCTTCTTGAGGGCAGGCAATTGCTGTAACTTCTTTGTTTTTCGCCCATGCCTAAATTAATTGGGATAATTCAAAATAAATTTTTACTGAGGAAATTAATGCGTTGACTAGTAGAGGAAATAGCAAAGACAAATTGAAGGAAACTGGAGAAGTATTTGCAGAAAACAGCATATAATCTAGTTTGGTTGAGCCTTTGCTTCACACAGTCACAGAATTGGAAATGAGGTTGGAAATGAAAATTGGGGATGTATTGCAGAGGAATTTCACTGAGTCCCAGGCTGAGAGGTTTGCATTTCAGTAGGCAGTTAACAAAAAGTGCTAGAAGGTTTGTAATGAAGAGATTTAAGTGGGCTGAACCCGGCTTAAAGATAGAGCTAAAAGAACTGAAAACGGGGAGACCAGGTGGGAAGCTATTGCAATGGTCTAGCATTTTTTGGTCACCCAAACTGTCAGTCCTTCTTGTAGGTTCGATGATACACTTTCTTGCCTTTTTTGTAGATGGTCTGTTTGTATTGATTGCCCGGTTCTGCACATTCATTTTGTAATATTACAAAATGTCAGTGTGTTTAAAAGCATTCATTTAATGTCAAAGATATAAAAAGGGACAAAACATTGGAATTGAATTTTTTTCCCGCTACCTGAACATGGTCTTTCTGCTCATTCTGTCTCTCTCTCTCCCCACCACCACCCCCACTTTACAATTAGTTCCACTCAGACCATGCTTTCAAGCTTAGAAGATATTTCATTTTTAAGAGAAGTAATGCCTGAAGATAAAGAAAGTTCCTCCCTGGAGTATATTTGAACGAGCAAAATAAGCAAAGTGAATTTGGTTTTTATAAACTGAAGAAAAATATAGATGTACATTTCCTTCATTTAAAGTATATTAAAGTTTCCTAAACAGGGCTTTTAATTCATTTAAAACAGCATTAGGTTAGGTGGGCTGTTGGTGCTTTGAATTAATGTGCAAGCTGTTAATCTCCATAGACCTGGATTTAAAATTAGACAAAGCAATAATTAGTTTGGCACCATCATTTCACTACCCAGAGGGTAATAATGTAGGTCATAAAATACTACAGCCTGGCACAAGTTTTTTTCTTTCTTTCTTTCTTTCTTTCCTTTCTTTCTTTCTTTCTTTTTTTTTTTTCTCACAAACAAGGATCTAGTAATAGGTGGTGTGAAAAAAACATATATATGCGTGTGTGTGTGTGTGTGTGTGTGTGTGTGTGTGTGTGCGCACATATATAAAGTGATTGTCGCTGGGAAGTACAATGGCTTAGCTTTTGATACATGTTCCGCTATTCCTAAAGAGACCTAAATTCAGAAATTCTTATCAGGTTTTCCTGGTTTAAGGTGAGTCTTTTTCCTTCTCAGAGATACAAAGAAATCTTCATGGTTTCTCCTCTCAGTAGCTGTTTTCTTCTCCAGTAATATTTTCTCATACAACATTTATACATTGAGTCACAGAATTAAGATTATAATTTGTACTATGCTCCTTTTTTTGCTATATTCTCCCTACTAGTTTGCCAGTTTGTTAAATTATAAGTATGGTATACTGTAAATATTTTTTAAGATGTAAAAGTGCTGCATTCAAGTAAGTGCTTACCATACGTATCTTGACTTGTTTTCATGGCAAATGACTACTGGCAATATCAATAATTCAAGAGTGGAAACACTGAAAATACAGAGGAATTGCATTTGGATACTTCTTCCTGTCAATCATCCTTCCCAGATTCCTATTTGAACATTCTGAAAATGAGGAAGACATCAGGTCTAGCCTTAAGTATGAGTAATAGTTTTTTATTTCCTTACACTGCTAACCTCAACTGAGCTTTTAAATCACAGGTATCTTGGGTGTCTCTATATAGCTTAATATTTTCAAGCTATGGAAATAATATTTTAATATTGAATTGAAAATATATTTCATTCAAATATACATGTACAGACTTTCTATTTTACATAAAGCAATATGCAAGCACCTGTTTGTATCTATAGAGAGTGTTCAATGCATTAGATGAGTACATTCACAAATCATTTAAGTTGAGCTTTTCAAGTGATGTGAGCCACTGATACAAACTTGCTAATGATAATTATAGAACTGATGCTGATTTAGTCATTTCAAAAAAGCCACGGAGGCATAATTAGTGTCTGAATGGCCTCAATATTGCATTATTAGGAGGCTAGGGTGAAACTTGAAATGAGAACATCAAGGCTGATAACAGAAAAGAAAACATGAAATACATACATAATTCATTCTGAGATATTATAAAGGTTTATAACTAGAAACAATAATTTGCAGAAAGCATCTCATGTACTGGAGCCAACTGCAATCATTTGGTCAACCTGTTAAAGATCAAATAGTATATTCTTAGCTATTCTCAGTGGTGTCTTTGTAATAAAGTAGCAGCAAACAGACACTGTTTGCTTCTGGTCACTTTTAAAGAATGTTCAGTTTATCAGTAGGGACTTTAATCTCAACCTTAATAGAGTACAAAAGCAGCCTTGTCCCTGTGCTTCTCTCCTTAAGGCCACAAGCTATGCGATGGCTTTTTGTTTTTTGTTTTTTTAATTTAAAAAAAGAAAAATAAAATTCTCCTTCTGAGAACACTAAATACCATGTTTTTTTCCAAGAAAGTAATATCCATTCACTTTTTCTTTTTTGATGCTTTTCTTCTCTCCTTCTTGCTGATACATCACAGCTCCACCATAGTTCACAGCCATCACAGGAGTGAAGACATGCGCAATATCTATGAAGGATCCCCTGACTTGGACCCCTGCCAGGTCTACCATTATCAAGTGACCTGATGTTGGTTGACTTGAGCCTTATAACTGAAAAGTTTCCATTTTTTGTACTCTTTCCTATTAGTTGGCAACAGATAGGAAGAATGACTCTCAATCTACATACAAATAGCTTGCAGTGTTAGGCATTCATCCCCCTTAGCATAGGTTTACAGGTAATCAGAAAAAGACATATTTAAGTACAATCTGTCTGCTATCTAACATGCCCTGCCAAACAGAAAACCAAATACTATATGTATTCGTTTATAAGTAGAAGCTAAACATGGGGAACTCATGGACATAAATATGACAATAATAGATACAGGGGACTATGAGAGGAGGAGGAAGGGAAAGGGGCAAGGGTTGAAAAACTAAATGTTAGGGATTATGCGCATTACCTGGATGACAGGATCATTTGTATCCCAAACCACAGCATCACAAAATATAACCATGTAACAAACCTGCACATGTACCTCCAGAATCTAAAATGAAAATTGAAATTATGAAATAAGTAAATAAAAATAAACACCCTGCTTCCACTGTGATTGTTGTTATTACTACAGTTTTAAAAAGTGACAAGGTCTGGGCTGTATCACATCTGAGAAATCTGAGCTGCAATTTATAAATATTCCCCTTCTTTTTCCTGTGTGGTGTCATACACATAGGCATCCTACAACAATCAGATTTCCAACTATCTGGGTAAAGAGAGGTGAAGACAGCCTTAGGTACGGAAAAAGGCAGTTATATAGGAACAGAAAAATAAATCCCTAGGTGCACATAGAATTATCAAGTGGATCAACTGTGTTTTAGGGGTCCAAACTATAATCTCCAAAGTATCACAGATAATTAATTTTTAAAAACCAGGTTAACTTATTTACCACCGTTTCTCCATCCCCCCACAACAACTGGTAAACACTGAATTTTAACTATGTCCTTTGTAAACTAGGAGGCAGTGACCTGCAGTCCCATAGTGAGATTGGTGGAAACACCAGAAGGCTGGGTTTGTTTTGTTTCATTGTGTACTTCCTAGTCAGAGGATATGACAGGAAGTTACAAACTCTTTCTATCCCTCTATTTCCATACTCTAAATGCAGGAGCCAAATTCATGACTTTAATTAAAGATGTTTTTGGTTGCAAGTAAGAGAAGGAACGACTAACAGTAGCTCAAGAACTAAGGGGTTTATTATCTCACAATAAAAACACAGGGGTAGGGAAGTTCTTGGGTTCCTTTTCTACTATCTTGACTATTTTGGTGATTTTTTTACTGCACATTATGGGTGCAACAGCTTCAAATGTCGCATGAGACAAGATTATATCCAATGGAAGAAGAGGAGTGTTGTCTTACTCCACCTCTTTTTTTCTAAGAGAAACCCTTTTCCAGAAGCCATCAGGGGATTTATTCTCACCCTAACTGGGTCACGTTTTAAAATTATGATGGCATGGGGAGTGAGACCACCAAGTCTGGCCTGATCAATCCTGGGAAAGGATCACCTATTAATGAGCACACAAACATATTTGAAGAAAGAAGGAACAGAGGTAGTGGCGGTGGTAGTGGTGGAGTTTGTAGAACGGCTATATAGAATCATTATTCTACATAATTCCAGGAATTCCATTTTTAGCATAGTTGTTGTGGTACCCCCTGGAATTGCTGCACCACACAATTGAAGTGATTGTACCATTCAACCTGTATCTGAACAACAAATAAAGCCTATTAGAATACTTGTAATACTTTGTAGCCCACTGTCTAGCTATGACTTGTTTTTTAAATGATCTAATTTATATCTTAATTTTGAGAACCTACTTTGCATGTTTCTGTGGTTCATAGCATAGCTACGAGTCCACCATTTCAGAAGCAATCAGGACCTTGGGATGCGGAAACTATTACTCTAAAAATTGTTTAAAATGTTTAAATGTTCCAATTTAAGCAAATCATAAAGACTCTGGCCACATATAATAGTAAAATGATTATTTCAACTTAAGCTTTCAAAAAATTAAAATAATAAAGCATTTGAACTGGGGTATATAGTAGACACAATTAATACTGTTGAATGGCTAAATGAATGAATGGAGTCGAGTCTACCTGAAGAAGAAACATGTAAAGAGAAAAAAGCAGGGTGTTTCCTGATACTCCAAGTAGCCATTTTTAGCTTTCTGGAGATAAGAAAGACTATTTTAAAACACAGCAAAGAAGATATGGTATAGGCAATGCTGCACTAGAAAAGAAATGAAATATTGGGGCATGTTACCAAGTTCAGTTATTGAATCTGGAGATTTTAAAGAAAGACTTAACTTTACCTGTGATGATAGTGAACTTAAACTTATAAAATGTCACATCACTGTATTGACAAAACAGTGATAAAAAATTATGGCAGCTTTCACTTCAAATCATTTTTTATAGGGCCATTGCCCATGTTTACCTTCCAGAAGGAGAGGATGAAGAGGACAAGGTGCAGGAGGAGAAAGAGTCGTATAAATCATGAATCATTTAGAATGTATGTATAGAAACATGGCTTCAACTTTAAGAAACATCTACCTATAAATATTGCTTTATAAATAGAAATCATTCTTGTAATTACTATAATTATATTTCTTAAAGCTAAACAGTTGCACAGCATGCTCATGTCAGTCCTTGTTTAAGGAAGGCTATTTGTACTTCTGCTGCCATAGCAATAATAAATTTCCTTCCTTGTTCTCCCTTCTAGCTACCTGAGAAGTATTCTTGATGTATGCTATAGTTAAACATGCATTATACCTACTTTTGTCTATTCCACAAGATTGTTGTTGGCTACGTGTCACGGTGAATATCATATATGACGACAACAAAATACAGACACAAACTTTAGCTCCCCAGTAGCTGTTAGTACTCACAACAGAAACCTAGATAGTTCAAGGTAAACTCAGTTTTTTTTCTCTCAGTTGTTCTCAGTCTCCTTTAGAGTTGCATTCAGTTAATTTTGGTTTCTCGTCTTATCCTTCTCTTCTTTTGATGGGTACTTCAGATCCTGTTTTTGACAAGGAGGCTTGTGGTTCACAGACATATTCTGTCTTCACTGAAGTATAACTCATTTTGCTCAGACTTGGTGCTTGAACCTCCATCTCGGACACATGTGCAGCAGGTATCCATGGTCCTACCATAATGGTCTTCAGCTTGTATGATCCAAAATGTATCCAGTCAGGGTGTCTGTGGATATGAAGCTATGTTTCTCCTACTCCAATGAAATATTTTTAGCCTTTCTGCATCCCTCTTAGGAGCTTCAAAATCTTTTGGATATTTCCCACACCATGCGTGGTGTCTGACCTCAGGGAATCTGTCATGAGATCTAATCCTGAAGGCATCTTATTAACTCATTGCTTCTGTTCCAAAGTGGCACTATAATTGACACAGACTTCTTTAAAAAGAAAGAATGGGGAAGAGGGAATCCCATACTTATTGCTAAACCCTATTCTTCCCCTCTCCTTTTGTGTCCAAGTTTCTCCTTCCACCACTGACTCCTTCTATTTCTTTTCCTAACTCCAATCTGAATGAGATTTTTTTCTTTTATTTAAAAAAACTGTCTAAACTTAAGAGGTACAGGTGCAGTTTTTACATGGATATATTACATAGTTGTAAAGTCTGGGCTTTTGGTGTAACAATCACTCAGATAATGTACATTGTACCCATTAAGTCATTTTCAGCCCTCATCCACCTCCGAACCTCTCAGCCTTCTGAATCTCCACTATCTATTATTCCAATCTACACTCATAGGTACACATTATTCAGCTCCCACTGATGTGTGAGAACATGTGGTAGTTGACTGTTTTTGAGTTGTTTCACTTTTCTCGGTTTTTCAAAAATCAACTTTTACTTTATCCTTTATTCTTTTCAACATTGTTATTTATGGTATAAACTGTGCTCTACATCCTTAGGGCTTTTAATTTTTCATTTTCAAATATGTTTCTCTATATATCCTTTGTACTTATTTTCTTGTTTTTCATAGTTGTTTGTCTTTATGAATGAAATTGAAAATTGAGATTTTGACTCTTTTTCCTTAGCCATTTAAATCCTCCCCTGGAAGATGAGTCTATATGGACTGATATGGTCACAGTAATAAATGCACAAAAAATGTGGGGGATGTACAGGAAAGAAATATAAGTTAATATCTCAAAATATGATTCCATTAACCTACCATAGTAGCCTATGGGATTGAAAAAAATCTTTAGAGATAAACATATCAAATTCTCTCAGAAAAAAACCACGTACTAATTGCTCCCACACATTTTGCCAACATAATATTTAGACCCAATTGTTGAAGGATAGTTCAGTTGAAGAGCAGTATTGAAAAATAACAACAGACATCTCCATTATGATTTTTCCATTTTCTGCTGATTATTTGGGTGTTTGTATTTCCAACATCCTAAAAGTAATCTTTATGAATAAGCAAACTAAAATTTGTTGTGGGTTACCATTGAGTGGACTTTTTACCTAATTTATTTCACACAATTTTGAGGAAAAAGTCATCATCTCTATTTTCAGGTAAGAAAACTGAGTCTCAAAGAGGATAGATAGCTTGCAGTAAGGACAGAAATCTAGTAAGTCGTAGAGCTAGGAATTCTACCCAGTTTGATCTTGCTGCAAACTCCTTGGACTTCTTATTATACAGTGCACTTGCCCCTTTCACTTCTAGTGGTGCTTTTGCTTTGCCGAGCTTCACTCTAGTATGTACATATCAAGAATTAGTGTCATGATGGCTAGGAAGTTGCCCAATACTTTTCAGATTTGTTCAGGCAAAATTTCCCATACTGATTAGATTTGAAGTTACTCACTCATCCTGTAAAGCCAAGCTGAAACATGGTGCAATAGAGTTCTTGTTTATTGTCCAGTTTAACTGGCAGATCTTGACTACCTTTTTAAAAAATGTCAACCTCTTACTAAGTTGATGAAGGTGAAGAAACACAAAGACCAAATGTCTATTATTTAATCTTTTATTCTAAGTTTGGGATATGATTCCAAATATGTAAATTTTATTTGTTTTTTTTTTCGTTTGTTTTTTTGAGACAGGATCTCACTCTGTCACCCAGGCTGGAGTGCAGTGGCACAATCATGGGTCACTGTAGCCTTGACCCAGGCACATGTGATCCTCTTACCTCAGCCTCCCAAGTAGCTGGGACTACAGGCATGCACCATTAAGCCTGGCTAATTTTTGTATTTTATTTTGGTAAAGACTGGGTTTTGCCATGTTGCAATGGCTGGTCTCAAACTCCTGGGTTCGTATGATCCACCAGCCTCAGCCACCCAAATTTTGAATAATTAGGCTTTCACTTTTGTTTCTTTGGTTAAACTAAAAATGATAACCTTGAGAGGGACTTAGACTCCTTTTATAGATGGTTTTTCTGTTCCTTCTTTTACTTTATTTTCCCTTTTCTCCCTAAAAGTGACAGTCTCTTAAACCATAGTCTTCCTGTTAAAAAAAATAACAATATGCAATGTGGAATTTATTCAGGGTGAGGTTAAAATTGAAGCAGAAT